GGGGGGGGGGTCATTTCAAGGTACCGTGAAATATTGGAGTGCTCCCCCAAAATTTTTCAGCTTCCGCCGCCCCTGCAGGTAGGCGAAGATTTTTGGTAAAATTCCTTGCAACCTTTACTTTTAACCAAAACAAGCTTTATATGATCGAGTTAAATTCAGTCCGACCTATGCCAAGATTATACTATTTAGAAAGAGTATTTAATTATCATTTTAAAGCATTATAATAAGGAAATAAGTAATAACGTGCCTTGTATCACGATTTCATGTCAAACAAAAATTATGTCATTCGCTTTCCAATATATCATCAACTTCTGAAGGRAAAAAAAATAGAAACAAGTGTTTTTTTTCCACCTGCGTTGAAAAAGATTTTCGATATTCGTTTTTCCTACCTTTTCATATTTGAGAGTTGGAAAGGTTTGAAATTAGATTAGAAATTGCAAGACACAAACAAACCAAACAGATAAGGATGTCGTGCTTTAAGCCTGTATGGTTATATACGTAACATCTTGGACTTGTTAATTTTTAATGCAAAATACAGCGGACACCTACTAAGCGGCTAACTATTTTTTAAGAGACCGATTGTCAACAAAAAACTTGTTGTCGATAATAAATCACCGCTCAAGTACAGCAGTGGCGCAGATTAACGGGGTGCAACTGAAAATAGAAGGGACAACTAACGAGAGGCCAACAGACACATACTAAGTGGCTTACTATTTTTTAGATACTGATTGTCAAAAATAAACTTGTTATCGCTAATAAATCACCAGCGCAGTGAAACCAGGGAGAGGAAGAGCCAGGGCTATCCCAAATGCCTTTGTTTCCTTTGGTTTTAAGGGAGAGCCTACGTAGCAAGTAGTTGATGTAGTGCATTCATAAAAATGTAATGAATTACACCCAAAACAACAGATAGAACGACAATAGAATACAATAGATTTGCATTCATGTAGGTTCTCCCTTGATTTGTCTTTTCTAAGGTTTATTTACAGTCCTTTGACTAAACGTGTCGTTTGATCGGATCATCCCTACGCGCCTAGACCGAAAAGGATAACGGGTAAATTACCCAGAACTTGCGTCATCCAAACTGCTCGCCAGCGTTAAATCTTCGTCGTGTGCTCGAGCATGGTCTTAGCAAGTTAAATTGGGTAGAAAACAGCGAGCTCAAGACGTGTTAGATAACACATGCGGCAGCTAGTAACAGTGAATCAATTATCCCCATGATCCTTTTCTGTCTAGGCGCGTAGGGATGAAGCCGATCAAACGACACGTTTAGTCAAAGGACTGTAAATAAACCTTAGAAAAGACAAATCTTTCAAGGATTTTTTGAAGCTTTAAGTTAAGGTAAAATTGGTTCTATGGTTCTATAATCCTATAACTGCTTTACTTTTCAAAAAATAATAATGACTTTAATATATTATAATAATTATAGCTATGTATAGTAACGTTTATATAAAGAGGGTGGCCCATTTGGGCCGCGTTCACACGTATCCGGAAATTTTTGTATCCGCAATTTTTTTTACGAGTACGGGTTGCGTCCACGCGTGTCCGCAAATTTTTGTATCCCTATCCGGAAATTTTACGAAAACGGTCTCCAGAGTGGAAATTTTCGAATACCCTCCGAATACGGATACGTGTGGACGGTGAAAACGATTCGAATACGCTGCGTGTGGACGCAAACATTTTCGTATCCGCAAAAAATAATTTGCGGATACAAAAAATTCCGTGTGGACGGGGCTTTAGATAATAATTTGAAGTCTTGGTGTTTCGCACATTGTTCCAAATACCAGCAAAGTTTTATAGAAAGATACCCTGACAGCTGTGCAGTCTATAAATTTTAACAATAGCTGTCCCCTTGGCGTAATGTCGTGACTTTTTTGGAGCTGACTGGGGGGCAAACAAGCGGTTGACTGGGGGGCAACTAGCGGATGTTGAGTCAAAACATGTCAAAATAAGTCCTCAACCTGTTGTATTTGACTATTTCTACGACATAAAACCAGAACACAAGAGATCAAAGCAATCTGCAAGATTCTACAAGGCATTAAAAACATAGCTATTACCGGAAGTGACGTCTATTGATAGCCCCAGATCACCCCAAGTCGAAGAGGTCTATTACTGGTCTTACTGGACAAGGTTGAGCGATAACCAAGTTCAATAATCGTTTTACCATTCGAATTGTTTTTTTTTTTTCCACTTTTCTTTTTGTGCTGGTTGTTTTGCAATCTATCAAACAAACCAAGTCACAGGGAAGCGAACCATGTTGACAAATGCATCGTTACTGCGCATGAGCAGAATATTTTTTTTGCAGCAAAATGGTTTTGCACCATAATGCGCATGAGCAGAATATTATTTGCAGTTATCTTGGCCTATCAAAACGATGGAAAAAATAATTTGAATGATAACAACTATTGCTCCCCGTCAAAGAAGAGCAATGTATTTTTCATTTGGCGAATTTGCGAAAGGTTTRTTTTGATGTTGTGGCGCTGACATGGACCCCAAATAGTGTATTTTAATAAATATATTGAAAGTCCCCCATCATAGTTTAAGGCCTAAGGCGTATCATTACTGCTGTTTCCGATCTTCTGCGAACTCCATGGTTACAAGCTGCGCGCTGAATTTTTTTTTTTTTTTTTTTTGCTGCTGCTGTCAATCAAAAATAATCAGTCGGTACTTCTTATGTTCTTGACTGGTGGCAGTGAAATACCACTTCACAACAAGCCGTTGAAATGTCGGAGCTCGCAGAAGATCGAAAGCCGCAGTAAAATATCTCGCATATGGATCCAGATTCTTCTTGTTTATCTTAGGAAACAACATGGATAACAAGGACAGAGCTAAAGACAGAGACCTTGGTAATGGAGGTATTTATTATCGGAATCGCAATCCCTTTCCGAATTCTCCTGAGATAATGTTAACCAATGCTTCGAGAAAGCCAAGGCGATCATCGGTTACTTGGGCAGATGAGCTTAGCGACTCAAACACAGAGACGATTCAGGGAAATGGAGGGATTTCTGTGCTCCAAAATGGCTGCGTTAAGAATTCAAATAAAAGTGGAAATGGCGTGTTAAAGTCCCAGCATATTAAAGGCAAATCCGCTTGTGTGGTAGAAATACGAAAGAATTCAATCCAAAATACCAATAAACATATTAGCACGAGCCGTGAACAGAATGTGGGCGATTATCACCTTAAGAAAAACAACCATTTTGTCGACTTAATGACAACCCGAAGACTCGAGTCTTTACGAAAAAACGCCGACGAAAAATCCCGAAGCGAGACCTGCCGAGCCCTTCTCGGAGAGTTTCCGGAGAGAGATAAACCTTATCGGAACAAAGTGGAATTTTATGGCACTGTTTTGACGTTTATGATTGGACTTGGGAATGTTGTTAGATTCTCTTACCTCTGCCATCAGCATGGAGGCGGTAAGTAGAGTTTTGCTACTACTCTTCCCAGTAGACCGAGGTAGTTGTGATTTTTTAATCGCCTTCGTAGCGTCTGTTATGTTATCCGCAAGTACATTTCAAATCGACCACGTGATGCCAATGTTGTACCACGAGGACAAGTTTTTTACACCACGTGATCAAAACTTGACTGAATTTTGATCACGTGGTGTAAAAAACTTGTCCTCGTGGTACAATATTGGCATCACTTGCGGATAACATAACAGAAGCTACGAAGGCGATTAAAAAATCACAACTGCCTCGGTCTACTGGGAATAGTAGTACAAATGTAATATTTCTCGCTTTCTGATTGGTCGAGAGCCGTGGTAAATGAGAGGACATACCAATAAATTACGAGTATTGTGCCAATCCCCGCGTGCTTTATATCTGCACACAACACAGCACAGCAAGCAAGTTTATTGTTTTTTTGGTAAAAACCAAGGAAAAATTAACTAACGCGAACTATTTAGTTTTTCTTAATAATGTTTTCGCTCAAGGAATGCTTGCATACTCATCTGGAAACATTTTGTTTCAATAGACTGGATGAATGAAAGAAAAGGAGAAGGGAGAGAGAATGAATAAAAGAGAGGAAAAAAAATTTGGGAATGAACGCTTCATTCAAGGAGTTGAAGAAATAAAAAAGGCGCACCGTGCTGTGTGCAGTTATAAAGCACACGAGGGTTGGCGATCCCAAGCAATCAGAACGCGAGATTTATAACAGTTATTTTATATTTAAAAAATAATAATAATAAATTAGACCATATCCACTTGTGCATAATGTTATACAGACCACGTGTCATTCCCTAGAGTATCATTTCTTTGTTTAACGGTTGCGCTTGAGAAGACACACGAATATGGATACAACTCAAACAAAGAATCTTATTCTCACGAGAATAACACGTGGTCTGAAATCGGAAAGGGTTTCAACCAAGTCGTATGATTCAGTTTGGTATTTTTTCGAAAACTGATTGTGCAACTAGCATTCGTTGTATCCTTTAAAACAAACGCTAAAATAATCTTAAAATCCATTAAGAAAAAGCTAAAAGACCATAGAATAGACAACGTTTCGTGTTTTTTATCAATTCAAATAAAGCTAAGCGATGATGACTATATAAAGGGAAAAATACCACACGGAGCGTTGAAACTTCCATTTTATAATCTTAGTTTTCGTAAATGGATTTTAAGAATCTCCTAGCGTTTCGGTTTTGTTATCAAGACTTTTATTTATAAATATTCTATGTAAACATATTATTTACTTTCTAGTAGGAATACAATGTATCTTAACTCCTTTTTCCTTTTTCTTGTTTTCATTGCCAGGAGCGTTCTTCATCCCGTACTTCATTATGCTATTCCTCGAGGGAATCCCGTTACTCTGTCTAGAGATGGCCGTAGGACAACGTCACGGGCGATTCTCACTATACAACGCCTGGATAGATCTTGGGCCGAGCCTAGCAGGTCTAGGACTCGCTGCCATTGCTGAAAATTTAATCACTGTAATATATTATAATGTCCTTGTGTCGTGGTGCTTGTACTATTGTATCCAGTTTTTGAGAGACTCGTTGCTATGGGAACCCTGTCCTACCGTCACTACAATGAGAGGAAATCTGTCATTCAAGTCTATTGAGAGTGAATGCCTGAAATCAGGGCCGCAGACGTATTTTTGGTATAGAAAGTCGTTGGGTATATCGGCAGATATTAATACATTTTCGGGTAAGATGCAAGAATTTATAATGAAACTCATATATAGTGCATATATCCGTGAAAAAATTCGTAAAAAATTGTACAAATTTGCACAAATGAATGAGTTCAGTAGACCTCAGTAGACCGTAGACCTACAAAACTTTGCACTAATTTGTACAATTTTAGTAGTTAACTTTTTCAAGGATGTATGGTATGACGCAATCTACAAACATCAACCAAGGGTGGTGTAGTGGTAGAACACTCACTTCTCACCTCTGAGGTCTCAGGTTTGATTCCTGGACTCAACATCACATACATTAGTGAACCAAGGGTGGTGTAGTGGTAGTGCACCCACTTCTCACCTCTAGGGTCTCAGGTTTGATTTCTGGACTTGGCATCACATACATTAAACATTAAACAAAACCTATCCAGCTTATTTCCAATACTCCCCTTAACAGTTCCCTGCGCCATCTCGAAAGGTAGCCGTGCCTTTACATCGAAACGAGACGAACGGTGAGCTTGCAATGATAGAGACCTTTTTTAACACCTTGGACAATTATTCACATGTCTCTATCATTGCACATAGCGCGCATTCCAGAAACATGTTTTCTTAAATGTTTCCTGTCAGGAAACATCGGGAAACATGTATACCCAATATCGGTTAGCGCATGCGCACTTATAAGATAGAGCTAGCGTTGCTAAGTAACGAACGTTTAGAATGTTGACTTTCGTGGCTAAACGAGGAAACATTGGGAAACATTGTTTCCATGCGTCTTGGAAGCATGAAATGTTTCTGCCGCACAGCAGAAACATTTTTTGCGTCATGGAAGCAAAATTTATTGCACGCAGCAATGTTTCGCATGTGGCTAAACTTGGAATCATCGGGGAGACATGCATGTTTCTGGAAATATGATTCTTCGTTTAGCCAGTGCTTAACGCTTCCTTCGTACTTAGCAATCTCCCGCATGCACTTAAAACTCCATGGATGCACGCTAATCGACAACCAATTCTTTAATATCACACGGGTTTAATGAATAGCCATTTYGTATTTCAGGGTTCAATATGTTCATGTATATATTCATCGTATCCAGTTGGATCTCCACGTGGCTTCTTTGCATGAAGTCAGTACGAGATTCTGCCAAGGTAGGTTCTTTGCTGAGCGCTTTTCGTATAGAGGTTTTGCACCATCGCGTGCAGGCACCCATAATACTGCTTGGACTGCCTGTGGTTAGATTTCAAAACAATAACATCCCTTTGCTCTCGGGGATTGAATTATTTCTTATGTAAAGCGATTGTACTGTTCCTGCCATCTAACATGACTGCCGTCACGTGATGGTGCAAAACCTTTATTCCTGTGAAAAGCTTAGCTCAGTATGCTTGCCTTTTTTGGGCACAATTTGATTGGTCTGGCAGTGCTGTGACCTTGGCGTGTCGCATATTTGATTGGATGGAGAAATCATTCTCGCGCAATGTGATTGGTCTGGCGTATGCCTCGCTGTGTCACGACCGTGTTCATTTATGCTACGCTCTAACATTTAAGGACGTTCGCGGTAAATGAATTTCCCTTTGTTCCCCTCTCAAACTTCACATAGTGGAATAACAAGTTGAACAAAAAGAGTGAACTCACGAGAAGTGTAATGATATCAAAGCCCAGCCTTTTTCTCTTCGAAAATCGCTAGCGCATAATTCAAGTTAATTCACTGAAAACGCATCGAAAGCTTCGCGTCCACACCAGCGTTTTCACGGCATTTTCGCTCTACCACTCCAAAACGATCAAAATCGCAGATACGACTGGAAATGAAGCAATATCTTTATCTACGCATGCGAAAACGTGCCGGTGTAAACACGTCAGCGTTTTCAAAAGCATCCGTTTTCGCCGTGTCCACACTAATACGATAGACCTCTGGACAGCGTTTTCAAAGCTATACGTTTTGGATGAAAACGCTCAGCGTCTTGGACCATTATAGTGTAGACGCAAGGCCAAAACGCATCTCAAAGTATGCTGCATTTTCAAACGAAACCGCATTAAGGCGCCATTACACGGAACAATTTTCTTTGCAACTTGTGTCGCAACGACGTCATGAAGCATTGCAGTGTGTAACCTGAAGCGCAATTCGAAAAGTGTTGCGAGACAAGTTGGAGCAATCGTTGCGAAAAGTAATTCGTTTCTACTTCAATTTTGGCAACGATTGAGTCTCCGCTGCACCGTGTTGCAACGCTGTTGCGAGTCAAGTTGCAGAGAAAATTGCTTCATGTAATCACGTCTTTAGTGTGAACAGGGCTAAAATTTGGAGCCGATAAAAGAACAATAAAGAACTTAAGCACGACGTTCTTGCTAGCCTCGCAAACCTCAAACTGCAGTTCGACGTCAGGCATTTTTCGTCAAACTTTCGACATTTAGCAAGGCGTCATAACGAAGTTGTCGCTGGAAGAGCCGCCATATTGAATTTAATGTTTGCGGCCGTGTTTCTGGGCCTGATTTCTAGCGGTTAGCGATAAACCCGATTCTAAAGGTATCTAGTGCACGACGGTGTAGGGGTAGAGTACGGATTATTATTGACTTTATTATTTCAGGGTTTATTGGTGGTTCTTCTGCTTATCGTCACGAGACGGTGTAGGGGTAGAGTAGGGATGTTTATTGTCTTTATTATTTCAGGGTTTATTGGTTGTTCTTCTGCTTA